GTCTTTTATAGCCATTTTCTTTGTGAGTCTTTTTTAAAAAAAATGCGTAAGTATTTTCGCCTTAGAGCCACCTCATGAGAGAAGTGTAAATAATTGTGTTTTCTCTGTACCGTTTTTCAGGGCTATGACACACCGTTGCATTTTGCGTGTAAGTTTGGAAATGCAGACGTAGTCAATGTGCTTTCATCACATCATTTGACTGTAAAAAATCCAAGGAATAAATACGATAAAACACCTGAAGATGTAAGTACTTGTTAAAATGTAGTCACTCTCTAGAGTTAGAGATGAAAATATGTAACTTTACAGTCTGTGGTCACAGACAGGCACAGTGAAGCCACATGGAGCGCTGTATGAGTTGTGTTTGCCTTACGGGCACATGTGAGAGTCCTGCTGTTGAGTAGGATGCATTTTGTGAAGGTGATGCATCAGTGGAACCAGGAGGGGAGGAACTCACACAGTTTGGTGAATTCATTTGATTTTATTTTCCTAAAACTGGCAGTCAATTGCTCTGAACAGCTCACAGTCTTTTACCAAGTTCCCTCTCTGAACCCATCAGTTGGCCAGAGTCAAAGAGAACAGAGGTGGTAATGGTGGTGCTGATGGTGATGGTGATGGTGGTGGTGGTGATGGCGAGGGTGGTGGTGATGGGGATGATGATGGTGAGGATGATGGTGGTGGTAAGGATGGTGATGGTGCTAAAGATGGTGATGGTGGTGGTGGTGGTGAGGGTGAAGATAGTGATCATGGTGATGGCGAGGGTGATGGTGGTGATGGGGATGATGGTGGTGAGGATGATGGTGGTGGTAAGGATGGTGATGGTGCTGAAGATGGTGATGGTGGTGGTGGTGGTGAGGGTGAAGATAGTGATCATGGTGATGGCGAGGGTGATGGTGATGGGGATGATGGTGGTGAGGATGATGGTGGTGGTAAGGATGGTGATGGTGCTGAAGATGGTGATGGTGAGGGTGGCGAGGGTGATGGTGAGGGTGATGGTGGTGATGGTGGTGGTGGTGATGGCGAGGGTGGTGGTGATGGTGGCGAGGGTGAAGATAGTGATCATGGTGATGGTGAGGGTGATGCCGCTGAAAGCAGCTAGATGGTATTCAGCTCAGTGTGTACTAGGCACTGTGCTAAGCTGCTCACACACTTATGCTCATCTGACCCAGACAAGCCATGTCTGTCAGGCATTATGAACTGAGCAAAGTGCACCTTACAGAGGGCAGACGTGTGTTTTATGCCCAGAAGGTGCAAGAGGGATCGGACCCTGTGAGAACTGAAGGACAAGTTTGATTTGTTCTGCATCACAGCTGTGAGCTGCTCACGGTTTCCCAGCCCTTTAGAAAGAAAAGCTGTAAGGATCTTCTGGTGGCAGTGTTCTCTCCTACACCCCCTCTGTAATTCCTGTTTTTTTTTTTTTTTTTTTGAGACGGAGTTTCGCTCTTGTTACCCAGGCTGGAGTGCAATGGCGCGATCTCGGCTCACCACAACCTCCGCCTCCCGGGTTCAGGCAATTCTCCTGCCTCAGCCTCCTGAGTAGCTGGGATTACAGGCACGCACCACCATGCCCAGCTAATTTTTTTGTATTTTTAGTAGAGACCGGGTTTCACCATGTTGACCAGGATGGTCTCGATCTCTTGACCTCGTGATCCACCCGCCTTGGCCTCCCAAAGTGCTGGGATTACAGGCTTGAGCCACCGCGCCCGGCCTTGTAATTCCTGTTATTACATAGGCATAAGCAGTTTAAAATACCACATCACCAGAAAGAATAAAATTCACCAGAAAATTCTACAATTGAGAAATTGCCATTATTTTGCATGGATGTGATTGGATTTTCTGTGTATATATATGTGTATCTGCACTTCTTCAACATAAAAATCTTATTTGGTAACCAACTTAAAACTCCTGGCATTTTAAGTAAAAGCGTTTGACTTTTTCAAGCTCAGCAGTTAGTTACAGACTCAAAATTAATTGCATTGATAGTTTTAGTTTCTCTCAGAGGCTGGTTCCTTTCTTTCCTCTTATTGGAAGGTTGTTGGTTTTTCTATAGTTTCTAGCAAAAATTCTTATTGCTGCAATTCTCCAAGGGCCGAGAAAGCTGATTTCTGTCATCTGTAGTTGCAAAAATAGAACTTTCGTGTTCCGTGTTAGGACCTCCACCTTGACTGAACCTCACAACGGAAAGTTTATATATGACCAGGCTTCCTGTAAGTGAAACTCAGACGACTGAAAGTGCAGACGTGCTCACATGCTTCTGCTTTTACTCGATGCTGCACGTTTAAGTTTCCTCTCCTTGCAGACGTTAGAAAGTGTAGGGCAGCATGGAGAAGAGGTAAATATACCCAGAATCCCAGAGTGTGTTCTCTTACCTGTTCCCTGAGGCTTCTAGAAACAGGTCATACTCTTCACACATTTTTTGAGTGTGAGCTTTATTAAATCTTTAGCATTAAGATACTATTCCACTTCACTGACTTTAACTCACTTTCTAAAATCATTATACTGATAAGGAAATGTTACGATAAGATTTAGACACACTTTTTTTCCAATAGGTAATTTGTGAAAGAAGCAAAAACAAATCTGTGGAACTGAAGGAGCGGATCAGAGAGTATTTGAAGGGTAAGATGGGGAGTCAGTGCCTGGATTTTGGGGTCCACGCTGGGAAGGGCCTTGGAGTGTTGCGAGAATGGAGCACAGCTTTCTTCCCGAGCTCCCGGGCATATGCCAGCTTTCCTTGGAAGCCTCTTCTCGGATCACCCTTTCTTCTGAGCTCTCCCAGCTCACTTTGCACCTCTTTTCCTATTATCTCTTCTCTGAAGTCTTGTATCTGTCCCTTGAGCTTTTTGCAAGATAACTTTCTCTGAGGTTGTGTGTTGCTGACTGTGGCCCGCGGCCTCACCCCTGGATGTCCAGGGCTCTCTCGTGGCAGCTTCACTGTGATGCCTTCTCTTCAGGTGGAGCCTGCAGTTGGCAAAGAACAGCTCAGGGAGAGGCGGGCACATAGGTCCTCAGTTGGATGGCTTGGCTGTTGTGTGTATGTCTGTCTGTGTTGGGTGGAGGGTTGCTCCCTGTCACTCTCTTTGTTCTGACACTGCCTCCTTCCTCCCCCTGTCCCTCCTTGGTGCACTCCCAGGACGGCTCCTGCCTTGGCTCCAGACACACCCTACCCACTCGCCTCTGGGAAGGAGGCCTTTGCTTCCTGGGCCACCCTACTCTGGTCAGGAGCTTCCTGTCGGCCACTGTGTTGTGGTTTGTAGGTGTCAGGCATGTGAAAATGGCTGGTTGGTTTCAGGACGCGTTTTTTTTTTTTTTTTTTTGAGCTGGAGTCTTACTCCGTCACCAGGCTGGAGTGCAGTGGCGCAATCTTGGCTCACTGCTACCTCCGCCTCCTGAGTTCAAGTGATTCTTCCACCTCAGCCTCTTGAGTAGCTGGGACTACAGGCGGGTGCCACCACACCCAGCTAATTTTTTTTTTTTTTTTTTTTTAG